CTTTGCAACAAAAAGTTAACTGATCATCTGTGATGACATCTTTGATGGTATTGGATTCGTGATTATAAACCTTTTCGCTTGTTACAAAACTAACTTCTGAAAATAACAATATGAAACATCATGGCTTTGTCTACTCCAAAATAACAATATGAAACAATATGAAAATAACAATATGAAAATACCAAAATGCGCACATCCGAGAAAGTGTTGCTTATTGGATTGCTACTCCAAAAAGGTATGAAAAGTTTGAGAAAACTGCTCTAGATGAAAATGTTGAATTGGTCAAGAAGTTGCATTTAGACTGCAAAACTAGATGGAACTCAACCTACATCATGCTTAGCATTGCTATACCTTATAGGAAGGTTTTTGAACGTTTGGGTGAGCTCGATAGGAACTATGATATTCCAGCAGCAGATGATTGGACATTTGCTACTAATGTTTGTGAGAAATTAGGGTTATTCTATGAGCTTACTGAGCTGTTTTCTAGGACAAAATATGTTACAGCTAACCTATTCTTCCCTAAAGTATGTGAGATTAAACTTAAACTCAACTCTTGGGGTCATGATGAAAATGAAACTATTAGGAACATGTCTGCTGCCATGATAGAAAAGTATGATAAGTATTGGGCTGACATCCATGGTCTTATGGCTGTTGCTGTTATTCTTGATCCACGTCTTAAGATGACAATGTTACATGCTTGCTATATTGCCCTTTTTGTAGAAGAGGCTGCTGGAAAATATGTTACAGAGGCCTAGGAATTGATTACTAGTTTAATGAAACATTATTATGTGAAAGACCAAGAGTCTGTGGCTACATCCTCTGGTGGTGCCCCTTCTACAGTTAGTGCAGCTGCTGTGTTGTCCATATTTAAAATCCTTGCTGCAAATAAGAAGACTACAAGCTTTGTTAGAAGTAAGAATGAGCTTGATCGCTACTTGGAAGAGGAAACTCTTCCTCATGATGAGAATGATTATTTTGATATCCTTGGCTGGTGGAAGTTGGAGGGAGCTCGTTATCCTACTTTGAGGCTAATTGCTCGTGACATTTTGGCTATTCCAATCACCACAGTAGCTTCTGAATCGGCTTTCAGTACTAGTGGGAGGGTTTTAAGTGAGCATCGCAGTCGTCTTACTCCTAAAATGTTGGAAGCTTTGATGTGCAGCCAAAGTTGGCTTCGTCACAATCTCAAAGGTATAAAAATGTGCATTTACAATGAATTCTTTTCATTAATACATGGACTGTATACTGCAGCTACTAATGTTTGAACTTGAATGTAGATGAGGGTGATGGAAGGTTCAATAGCTTTTGGTCATGCCTTGAAGACAATGAAGAAGATCTGAAAGATAAATCTTGCATCACTAGAGCGGATTCCGACTAATTACTTGTTCATGTCTTGTTTATTTGCATCACTTGGAAGACTTTGCAGTTGAACAATGTGTACTTGTATGGTAGTCCAGTACTGTATTGTTGAATGTGTGGACCGTGGTGAACTATTGAACTGTATTGCATGATTTATGATTGTGATGAATTGAGATTATGAACGTGTGATGAATAATTGAACGTTGTGATATATTTATACTTTTGTCATTCTGTGTTAGCTGTCATGTTAAATGTCATCTATTTATACTTCTAGCGGGTATGCGGGCATGCCCACGGGCAAAACATGCCCACGGATAGCGGGCGCGGGCGCATAGTGCTGCCCGTGGCGGGTGGCGGGCGCGGACGCGGGCACAGATATATTGTCGCGGGTGCGGGTTTGTGATTTCTATACCTGCGCGGATTTTACCCGTTGCCATTTTTACTCTTGGCATGCTCGGCATTCCTCCAGAAGTGCTCGACACTCCTCCCGGAGTGCTCGGCATCCCTCCTGATGTGCTCGGCACTGCCCCAGAAGTGCTCGACTCTACCACCGGAGTGCTCGGCGCTCCTCCCGAGTCGTGGCTTTTTGTTCATGAGCGTCTCCACCGCCGTGGATGACCAAGTGCTCGACGATGAAGGTGTTGGTGAAGCCTCCCGCTTCCCGTGCTCGGATCGTATGCGGTCCCAAGCGCCTCCTCGTTGAACACAACGGCGTCGCGAGACAGTCACCTTGTCTCCGTGTGGGTCATAGAGCCGGTGCGCCTTGGTACCCTCGCGTAGCCCAGAACACCATGGGTGTGCTCCTGTCCTCCAGCTTGGTGAGGTTCGGCTTCGTCTTCCTGACATGGCCGATGCAACCGAATGTCCGGAGGAATGACACGTTCGGCTTGGTCCCGTACCAGGCTTCGAACGGCGTCTTGCCCGTTAGGGCTTTGGTTGGAGTGCGGTTGAGGATGAACACCGCCGTGGTCACCGCCTCTCTCCAGAACTTTGCCAGCATCCCTTTGGCCTTCATCATGGATCGGGCCATGCCGACCATCGTCCGGTTCCGTCGCTCCACCACGCCATTACATTGTGGCGAGTACGGCGTGGCGTGATGTTGCTCCACACCTTGATCCGCGCGATACATAGCAAACTCCACGAAGTGAATTCGCCACCCGATCGTCCTCAAGACACGGAGCTTCTTGCCGCTCTCGGCCTCCGCATGAAGTCTTGAACTTCTTGATCGCCACCGACGCTTTCGTCCTGTTTCGTCGGGAGTTGCGAGCCACATGTAGCGATCGCAATCGTCCACAGTAGGAGGAATCATCGCCGACCACCGCATGTAGAGCGTGATCGGCCCGCAGAGGTCACCGTGAACTAGCTCGAGAGCTTCCTTCGTGCGATACTTGGCGCGCTTTGGGAAAGGTAGCCTCCTCTCGCTTCCGGCCGAGCGTTATCATCTGACTCGCCCCCATGTTTGATGTGGGGTAGCCCTCGGACCATCTTCCCCAGCCGACCAAGCGCGTCGAAGCTGAGATGTCCGAAGCGGGCATGCCACATCCACGGTTCCTCGGAGTGCCTTGCCGCCAGGCAAACCGGCTGCTCTACCTTCAGGTCGAGCAGGTACAACCGGTTCAGGGACCTCTTCACCTTGATGAGAAGTCGCTGCTCCCGGTCTCTGATCCTCAGAACGCCATCCTTGATTAGAACCTCGCTACCGCGCTCATCCAGTTGACCAATGCTGATGATGCTGGAACGCAGCTGCGGGATGTAGTATACATCCGTTAGCGCGTGGTGCTCCCCGTTCTGGCATCTGAAGATGATGGTGCCGCGCCCTTGGATAGCCACCCTTGAGCCGTCACCAAACTTCACCGTACCGGTAACATCACTGTCGAGCTCGGAGAAGGAGTCCTTGGAGCCCGTCATGTGGTTACTGGCACCAAAGTCCAGATACCACCGTTGCTCCTGGTCGACGCCCACATGCCCAAGATGGACTTGGGCGCGTGGTTCGTCGAGGTTGACGGTCTTCAGGGCCTTGCTAGATCCTTCCACCGTCGTCGCCTCTTCCCTCTCTATGGCCTCGACGTCGTGCAGTGCACAGAACGTCGCCATAAGGATAGTAGCCTCATCTTCATCATCGGCTTTCGCCAGGTGAGCCTGAGCCTTCTTTTCATTCTTGCGATTTGGGCACTCCCGTGCCCAATGGCCCATCTTCTCGCAACACCGACAGGCGTTGGAGTCGATTTTCTTCTTCTCCGAAGAAGCCCTGCCGCGATGTTTGCCGTTGCCACCGCGACTGGAGGAGGCTGCCTTCCCGGAGTTTCGCCGAGCAACCCACTCCTCTTCCGTCAGCAGGAGTTTCCCGCTGTCCTTTGTTGCTGTCGCCTGCTCCAGGTGCTCGTCCACCGCCCGTAAACGGCCTACCACATCCTCGATGGTGAGGGTGGACAAGTCCAGCATCGTCTCTATGGAGAGAGCGATCTGGATGTACTTTGCCGACACGGAGTGGAGGAATTTGGAGACCGTCTCCTCTTCGTTGATGGTGACGCCATGGCTCTTCAGCTTGCTGATGAGCGTCTGCAGGCGGAGGGAAAAGTCCCCCACCGTTTCACCATCTTTGAACTTGAGGTTTGCGTACTCCTGCTTCAGAAGCTGGGCCGTCGTCTTCTTTGCGCGGTCGGAACCGACGCGCATTGCCGCAATGGCCTCCCACGCCTCCTTAGCTGAGCTTTTTGTCCCCAACGGTTCCCTGTACTCCGCCGGTACAGCAGCAAGGATAGCCTCCAACGCTGACATGTCGTTTTCTTCCACGTCGGTGCCCTTGTCAACAGCATTCCAGAGCCGTCGGGCTCTGAGCTTGACCTTCATGGTCACCGACCACTCTCCATAGTTAGTGCGAGTCAGCGTCGGCCAAGTGGTGCCGCTGACCTCCCGCACCGTGCGGACAACTACCTCCGGTAGTGGCTGGGCAGCTATGACAGTGCCACTGCCATCGCCCAACTCCAAACCGCCTATCCTCGCCATCGGTTAGAATGACGACGGCGCTTGTACGGCTCCGATACCACTTGTTGGCCCACGGGATCACCGTCCCTCTGACGATAGTGAACTAGTCTCCAGACCACTAGTCTCCAGACCAGACCACTAGTCTCCCAGACCAGACCACTATACTGGTTGTGTCCGTACCCACACACTACGGATCGAGCTAGAAGAAAAAGGGAGAACAGAGCAAGCACGCACAATACAAGACAACAACGTTGGCCGATGCCCTGTCTGTGTGATGGCAAATCTGAGCTATCTTTACTGAGTTGCCTTGGTGCCCTATTTATACAACTCTATCTATCTAACTAAAGTACAGCGCACATGCTGTAACAGTAACTAGATAAGTATACAGGGCTGACTCTGCGCTGGCCACTACATGTGCCTACAGTGCTGCAGGTGAGCCATGCGGCGTCTGCACCTGCAGCGGCTACTGTATTACAGCAGGGGGTAAAATCGACGCCGTCTTCCTCTACTGTGTTTCACACAAGGTGACAGTAGATTAGCTAACAGACTTCCCATTAATACTGAGCAAAGGAGATATGGTCACATGGATGCATTACTGCAGTAGTAGTCCGCATCGGTAAAGTTGACATCAAAAGTGCTGCTAAAACATTGTGTTATTACAGGTCAATGAAGATACGCAGGCCGTCATGAGCTAGTTGTACTGGTATTCCTTCCCTACGATCATAATACAAGCTTGCACATCAGTCAGTCAAGGCATCTAACAGATAATTAAGGAGTGAAACAAATGTTCAGAAACTAGGCGCACCTGCAAGACCATCTTGCTAACAGCTGGTTTTCTCTGTGATGTTCAAACTCGTGGTTCATTCCAATCAATAGAGCTTGTTTAGGGCATATCCTCTTGACAGCATCAAGACTCTACAACAATCAGTAAATGTTAACATGGTATTCCGTATTTAAGAGAAAAAATTAATAGATTCTCTGATACATCTTCACAGGCATGACACTGTAAATGGGTTTGAGGCTGTGAACCATTATGTTGATCTCTTCTAGCCTTCTAGGCTGATTTTATGAAGATGGATTAACTTCATATTTAACCACCAAGTTACTATAGAAAATACTGAGAGGTCCTGATTAAATAACCTGACTCAGAGTCAAATGGCAACTGCGATCATCTCCCTGTTCACAGAACATTAAATCTGTATCAGAAAGTTAACCTATTTTATGGAAGGTTCAGAAAAGATGTTCTTTATTCAGATGAATAGCATGTGGAGGATTACCGCCCCATGCAACCTGTTTGTTTCTAGTATAAGTAGATCTAATTGCCCTTGTCCAGCACCAGACTTCGAAATTGCTGCATGCAAAGATCGCATCAGCAGTTTATATTGCTGTAAAATGGAGCAACTGAATAGGATATAGGAACAAAGAGAAGGGATCCAACTACAAAAAGGCCACGAATTCAATAGCTGATAACATACGAAAGACTCTTGTGGTTCAGGAAAAAAAAATTGAGTTCAGAAAAATATTGGAGAATGTTGCTTTTGATGAAACACTGAAGTCCTTTTTTTATAGATTTATGTAATTTGCATTATTCCAAAGACGACATACAGGTTAGCAGGAACTATTATATGAATTGCTTGCTAAATTATCCTATGTTCTCTCTTTGTATTGCAGTCTGAATTTCAATGGAAGTATAATGGATCAATATTATCTGTCCTACTCACTGAATTACCTTAGTTATCACATTATTCCCAATCATTTTTTGAAACAGTACATTATTCCCAATCATGTCAGATGACTATTTAAAAACACTGTTGTTCACAAATAAGCATTCTATATAAGCTGACTATTTGAATAGAGAATGATGGAGGAATGGAAAGGTCTACCATGCTCAGTTGTAGGTAGAATTCTTGAGACATCAGATAAATACGCAACTCTGACTTTCCTCCCAAATAAGAAGCCTAAACAGACATAGTCCTCTCCATGCATAACCTGGGCAGACAATCCCAACATCAAGTTAGACAGCTCAGGGGGCAAACGTAACCATATCAATGCAGCATTTCACAATAATAACTCTTACTGGCAACGGCCAAAACTCAAGCTCCGATGCTACAAATGGCTTGTCAACATCACCCTCAATGATCGTCCAATCGAGTTGAGCAGGTCTGGCAAAGTCATCACCTTCCTGCAGCTTCTGTTTAACCAAGTTGGGAAATCTTGCTGCAACACTGTAAAAATTAGCAGACAATATTACACGATATATATATGTTGGGCCGACAACAGATTTAACGTGGGCACTGAGTTAGCTCGAAATGGAAGAATTACCTGTCCATTGTGAATTGGGTGAGAAAAATAGGAACTTTGCCAATTTCATTTCTCTGACTACTCGGTAGTGCCACCCAGAGATCATCAAGGCCTAAGACAGCATCTGCGTGCTCATGCGTGAGAATAATCTGCACTTCAGAGAACCCCCTTTTTAGTTGACTGAAAATGTGCACCAATTGTTGTCAATGAAGAATTCCCCATCAAGATCTCACCGAATCAATGGAAGGAATTTTGTGGCGCACAAACCACTGGAGAACTTGTTCTCTAAAGGTCTTGCCGACATCGATTAGAATGTACTTGTGAGTCCCATCATCATGGCAATAATCTATCAAGAGGGAGGTGTTGCACCTGAAACCAGACGTACATGCAGTCACATAAGCACTAGCAAATATTTGCTTTGATTTGCCTTTGAGGAGCCTTTAATCCCCCTATTTTGCTATGCAATGACCCAATTTTCTAGGAAATATACTTGCATACTACTCAAAAACATCTTTTAAAAGACACACTGTCAAAGTCCTGTATATCGGAATGGGTAGAAATGGCAAAAGATGCTGAGTGGCGACAAAGCTATGCCTATGATAGCCAACACGGCCAAAACGCAGTTCGGGACTTCGGGTAGCAGTGAGACACCGGATGAGATTCTGATGCTCTTGCCGATTTCCGGGGCAGGTCGACGCGTAAAACTCGAGAATTCTCTAGGTCAAGACGAATTTTGAGGCTCTGACAGTTATGTGGAATAGAAGGTACGAAATGAACATAGCTATGCGAGCGAAACAGAACCGTTCACTGAACAGACAGCGGTTGACTATATGCTGTAGTGTATGGGAGCGCAGCGCTCACCTGTAGTTGGGGTTCCGGTCCGGCGGCAGGGAGAGGGCCGTGGAGCAGACGGTGCACGGCGGCTCCGACGGCTGGATGAGGCATCGCGCGTCGGGGAGCGCACCGGAGCAGCCCGTGCCCAGAAAGATGAGCGATGAAGACGACGACGACGACGACGACGGAGAAGCCACCGCCGCGGCAGCTCCTGTTGGGCGCGTGGGCGCCGGACCAGAGTCCATCGATGGACAGATTCTTGGTTGTTCTGCTGGGACTGGGAGCATGAGTTGAATTTCAGAGAGAGATTTTGAGTTCTTGTTGTTCGGTTTGTAGTTTGGTTTCTTGCTACGTTTCTCCTCTTTCTTGCTTGGATTTGTTTATCGCAATTTCCAGTTCGGGGGGCGCGGGAAGTGGTTTCCCTTCCATCGTCTCGTCGGCGCCATCTTATGTGGACGTGATCCAAGCAAAACTAGTCCTGGACAACTTGATAAGAATTATGACTACCATCACCGATGGTGGGACTAGTCGTTGTGGGCGTGTTCTTTCCTGCCACGGATTAAACAGGACAGGTTTTCACAAAAAAAAAAATGTGGGCAGTGGTTAAACAATTGAAGGATATTCTGAAGAACACAGTGGTTAAAAAGAGGAAAGGACTGGTGGTCTAAGAAATTGGGCAGAGCAATATGGGCTTGTTACAGGATCGCTCTCAAGATACCACCTGGTATGACACCATATATATTAGTTCATTTATGGAAATACTTGTCATAACGCTTAGGACCTGTTCGGTTCCTAGGGAACCGTGATCTGGAACTAATCCAAGTGGAATTACTTCTCTATTTTGTATAAGCATCCTAGCCGGGATGGATCTTGGGCTTTGTTCCAGGCCAAACGAATGAATCCTTATTGGGCTACCAAAGAGATGAAATTAAATCTTGATGCCGCGCAAGTGAAAAAAAGGATTCAGATTCGTGAGGTGGAGAAATCATATCACAATGCTAATATCTACAAAGAAGAGATAAATAAGTGGTTTGATTCAAAACCAGGATTTTAAAGGAGACAAAGTTCTAATATTCAACTCAAGGTTTAAATTATTTGGAAAAGAAAAATTACAATTCACCATTACTACCTTAGCTGAACTTTTACTTATATTGTATATAAGTCGAAACAATTACAAGCATTACATCGATTAGAATGTACTTGTGAGTTCCGTCATCATGGCAATAATCTACCAAGAGGGAGGTGTTGCACATGAAACCAGATGTACATGCAATCAAATGAGTAAGATTTGATTTGTCTTTGAGGAGCCTTTAGTCCCACTATTATGTTTTCAAAAACCGTACTGTCAAAGTCCTTACTCCCTTCGTCCCAAAAAAAATGTCGCTATAGGGTTCATGCTAGGTTTGTAGAAAATATTAGCAACATTTACGGATGTATGATTAAGTTCTCGAATGTGGGATTTTCACAAACCAATGATGGCGGTTGTTCGAAGACGGATTGATTTAAAGCAAAACCCAAACCCTAACATGAGCGATGACGACTCAATATAATGTCTTTGGGGCATGCAAACCCCTGGACGCAGCGCCTAATGGGCTCTAAGATGTTACACGGTCTAGCGGACCAAAAGACGGTGTCGCAACACCCTTCACGATCCCCGTTGACTCCCATGGAACTTCGATGTGAAACCAACGTTATTGGTTAGTTTATCTTTTTAGGTAGAACGTCATAAAAATAGAATTTTTGCAAAATTGAATTTGTTAAAAAAATACTACTTAAAATGATATTTTGGCGAAAGTTTGCATATAAAGATTGAATTGAATATTATCTGCATGTGACACTACTAGAATGACGGTCTCATGTAAAAGATACTTCCTCAATTCCAATATCATAGGTTTACTTTATTAGCAGTTAAGGATCCTCGGATATTCCTTTTGGCAAAATTGTTTCAGTGCTATAATTTTTTTAAGACGGATTTTTTAAGACGTTAGATCGCTTAGGACCTGTTCGTTCCTGGAGAACTGTGTGAATATCTTATGCGTCCAAGAGACTAAATGAAAGGGACAGAAGGCGAAGGAGGTGGATAATACCGGCTTCAAGCTCTGGTACACAGGGACAACTTCAAATAAAAATAGAGTAGGAATTTTTTATTGATAAGAGCCTCAAGGATGGTGTGGTGGAGGTGAGAAGGCAAGGGGATAGGACCATCTTAGTTAAACTTGTCATTAGTGATATGGTCTTAAACGTAATTAATACGTATGCCCCCAAGTAGACCATAATGAGAGTGCTAAGCGGCTTTTCTGGGAAGACTTAGATCGCTTGGTTAGAGCTGTCCCTAGTAGCGAGAAGCTCTTTATAGGAGGTGATCTTAATGGCCATGTAGGTACATCAAGTGTAGGTTTCGAGGCGGTTCATGAGGGTTTTGAATATGGTAGTAGAAACCAGGAGGGAGAGAAAATCTTAGACTTCGCCATAGCTTTTGATCTGATGACAGCTAACACTTTCTTTCGTAAGAGACAGTCCCATTTAGTGACATTTAGTAGCGGCCAGTACTCTATGAAAGCATCTAGGCCCCTAGTTGGGTTTCGATGATTAATGACAATACATGATTACTGTGACTAACGTGTGTTTTGCAGAGGCAATTAAGTTAGGTCACGGTAATGGAGATCGATTGGACAATCATGGTGGTCATGCCCCTACGATGGAAATTGTTTCGGTTTTCAAAGGATGGACGACAAGGTTAAAGATAGATTAGTTCTAAGTGTCGATTGGAATTGAGGAGACACTTAAAGAAGTTTAGGACTTTGTTTTTCTTTTGGCCGTACTATTAAGGGGGGTATAGACGGATAGCTTGACCTAAGTGAGTCTAGTGAGTTAGGTGTGGTGCACACTTATTAAAACTAGCACTAGGTAGCTCCTAAATATGCCTAAGATCCTTTGGAGCAAACTTCATTCACATATGATCGAGAGTTGGAAATAAATGGAGGGTCAAATACTGACCGGACGCTGGTTTCGGTTTGACCGGACGCTGGCGCAGAGTCCGGTCAGTTCATTTGACCAAGGTGAAAACATTCGGTGCGACCGGACGCTGATTGGTGAAGTGACCGGACGCTGAGAGCCAGTGTCCGGTCGACTCCAGTAAGATTCAAGAGAGGGAAAATTACGACCAGATGCGTCCGGTTAGTGCTGACCGGACGCTGTCCAGCATCCGGTCACTCTGTAAACACTAGAGTTCAGGGTGTACTGACCGGAGCATCCGGTCAATATGACCGGAGCGTCCGATCACCCCGCAGTAGCACATAACGGTTCGTTTTTCAGCCGGTGTTATAAATACCAACTCCACTCGTGTGTGGGGGTACTTTTGCTCATTCCAACAGCTAAGAAACACCTTTGAGAGTGCCAAGAAGAGCAAGGTCCTAGTGAGGTGATTGAGATTTGAGAATCCCAAAGAGATCCCTCATTAGTGAGATCAAGAGTAGCAAAGTGTGCATCCACCCTTCTCATTAGGCTTGTCATGGTCAAGTGAGAGTTCGTGCTTGTTACTCTTTGTGATCGCCATCACCTAGACGGCTTGGTGGTGATTGAGAGCTTGGTGATTATCCGGAGAGCTTGTGGATGGCCCAACTCAAGTTGTGAGCAGCTGTGGGTGATTCACCGCGATGGAGTGTCGAAGAATCAACCCGTAGAGAGCACTTAATCCTTGCACGGATCAAGGGGGAGCTACACCCTTGCGCAGGTGCTCCAACGAGGACTAGTGGGGAGTGGCGACTCTCTAATACCTCGGCAAAACATCGCCGTGTTCCTCCTCTCTTTACTTTGAGCATTTACTTTAAGCAATTCAATTCTTGTCATTTACATTCATAGAATTGCCATGCTAGAGTAGGATTGGAACATAGGTTGCTAAACTTTTGTGCGGTAGTTCAATAGAAATGCTTTCTAGGCACAAGGGGTTAATTGGGCTAACCGTAGGGTTTAATTATTGCAAAGAATTTTAGAATTAGCCCAATTCACCCCCCCCTCTCTTAGGCATATTGATCCTTTCAATTGGTATCGGAGCCTCATGCTCATGTATTTAGGCTTAACCGCCTAGAGAAAGATGTCTCACGGGGATGGACCTCCTGCTATCTTTGAGGGGAATGATTTTCCTTATTGAAAAATCCACATGGAGGCGTACTTAGAAGCTCTAGATGTTGGAATACTTAGAGCCGCCTCACAAGGCTTCCCAAAACTTCGGGATGCTACACACCTACAAGGCGATGAGGTAAATTACGAGAAATGGAATGTAAAGGCTCGAAACACCATCTTTAGAGGCCTTTGCAAAGATGTGTTCAACCGGGTGAGGAGCCACAAAGACGCCCATGCACTATGGTCAGACGTTTGTGCGCTCCATGAGGGAACAAAGAGTGAGCGTGAGGAACGCTATCATCTTGTCATGAAAAAGCTCAACTCTTTTGAAATGCTTCCTAAAGAATGTGCTAATGAAATATATTCACGTTTGAATGTTCTTGTAGAGAAAGTAAATGGGCTTGGACTTACTCAAATGCAACCATCCGATGTTGTAAGAAAGATATTGAGTGTTCTCCCCATTGAAAAATATGGGCATATTGTGACCGTGCTACATCAAGATGATCTTTCCACCGCTACACCGACACAAATTTTGGGAAAGATCAATGCTCATGAGATGTACATGCACATCACACCTCAAGATGGTTCATCCTCTACAAAGAAGAAAGAAAAAGATTTAGCATTCAAAGCTAGCCAAGAGAAGGGCAAAGCAAGACTTGAGTATGAGATCTCAAGTGATGATGAAGTTGATGATGAAAGTCTTGCTCTCATGGTGAAGAAAACCACCAAGATGCTAAAGAAGCTCAACAAGAGTGGCATTAAGTTTCATGACAAGAAGAAGTTCTTCACTAGCTCTAGAAGGAAGCCAATCTCCGAGATGGATTGCTACAATTGTAGAGAACTTGGTCATCTAGCTCACCAATGCACAAAGCCCAAGAAAGACAAGTTCAAGAACAAGAACAAGGGCAAGAAAGATGACTCAAGCAATGAAGATGAAGATGAAAAGAAAAAGAACAAGCTATACAAAAAGAGAGATGGCAAGAAGAAAGACTTCCACAAGAAGAAGAAGAAGAAGAGTGGAAAGGCTTACATCGTCGGTGATTGGCTCACGGACATTGATTCATCTAGTGGATCATCTGATGATAAAAGTGACGATGAGAAGGTGGCCGCTATTGTTATTGAC